TGATAAAATCCAAAAATCGTGCAGGAACTTCTGGGCCATGCCAATCCTTTTGATCTTGAGTTGCGTACCACAATTCAGGCGAGTTTCACAGATATTAACGACAAAGAAAAAGGAAAACAGATAACACTGTTTAGAGGTGATGCTGGCTTTCTTCCAGTTCGATTTTGTCTCACGTGGGGTCATTTGAAGTATATTTTTAATCGTAGATTTCGTGGAGTTTATCCACCATATAAGAAAATCCAGAGAAAAAAAAATTGCCTCAATTGCAATGCGGGATCACGAACAACCCCATGAAACGTAAATCCCAACGAACGAACAATGAGCTCCGAGATCTGCCCCAATCTTTGCAGAGGCCAGGAAGCAAATAATTGCTGAAGAGGCTCTTATTTACGCCTGCGAAAGTAGAACTCCTCCGACTAGAGAGTCTGGCTCTCTGCACATGTAAAACACTACTAAGTAGACATTTTTCTGTACAGACAATTTCAGTGCGAGCATCCGCAGCTGCAGTACGAAAGTCGCGTTTACAGTGCCCTGCAAGGAGGAATCGGCATTCCGCGTGTGCGCTGGTAGGTTTTACGTGCGTCAAGAACAGCAGTTCATTTTTCATCCGTGCATATGCAAATGCAAAAAAGTGTATTGTGACAACCTATGGTGTGCGTGTGTGTGTACGTTTGTGTGTGCGTGCGTTTGTCCGGGCATTTCAATTCGGCAATTAAACAAGCTCCGGCGTTAAAATTTTGCCATTGGAATTCCCGGCCGAGTGCCACTCCAGGGCCGCCGCACCAACCTTCATGGACGTTTAAGCTCCGTGTACGAGCACGTGAAAGTTTTGGCGATGAAGACGCCAACTCAAAAAAGCTGGGAGGCTGAAATTTTAAGAGGATGTTCCCCTTTTACATGGAAACTAAAGATTTCAGATTCAGCCCTCAGGCATACGTGCTCCTCACATATGGCTTCGTGAAAATCTGAAAATTTTTGGCGGGAAAGTTCTTACCTCGGAAACCAAAGAAGCTGGACGGCTGAAGTTTTGAGGGAATGTTTCTTTTTCTTCGAAATAGCCGCGGGTGCTTTCACCTTTCAAGCAAGCGAATGCGGAAGGGCATTCGTCCCTTGACTAAAATAGCTTTCAAACTGTGCAAACTTGAAGCAATTATCTACAGTATTATTCTTCTTAAGCTATGCAAATTAGAAGCAGCAAAGTTGCAGGTATGGGACGCATAATGATTATAATGTAATGGTAATGGATTTGCTGGGCCCCTCGCTCGAGGATCTTTTCAACTTCTGCGGTCGCCGTTTCACGCTCAAAACAGTCCTGATGCTCGCCGAGCAAATGATATCACGTATCGAATTCATGCACGCCAAATATTTCATACACCGTGACATCAAGGTTACCGGTCTTTGTGGGATGAGAGTGAGTGGGAAGAACGCTTCATGGATTTTTAGGGCAATAAACTTTCGTCTTGAAATTCCGGTCTTTTTGATAATTCACTTTCAGCCGGATAATTTCCTGATGGGTGCTGGACGTCAGTGCAACAGAGTGTTCCTAATTGATTTTGGACTGGCAAAAAGATACATGAATCCGACGTTCAACAAGCACATCTCATATCGTGAAAACAAGGTATCACGTTATTTTCCAACAATTAGATGTTCAAAAATCGGAACACAGGATCATAAGCAGGCTAACCACCCAGGCGCTGGCACAGCCTTGGTGACCATCAGTCCCGGGAGGTGCGTTAATGCAATGAAAGTACATCGGAATGTGACGACAACAACACAACAATGCAACCCTTTTGCTGGTGTCTTAGACTTCAAATTTCTAAATTTTATTGTTTTTAAGAACTTAACTGGAACGGCACGTTATGCATCCCTCAACGCTCACAACGGAATCGAGCAGTCTCGAAGAGACGATCTGGAATCGCTCGGATACGTGCTTGTGTATCTCCTTAGGTTTCTTATTTATACTCATCTTCTGGAGAAGCTTCTGTTTCTCTAGAAATTCGCATCTTTTTGTCATGTTCAATCACCGTAGGTAAGAAACGATGATGTTTTGTGCTACCAAAAAAAAGCTCAAAAATTTTATGGATTTCTTCCCTTACTGCGCTGATGCGCTTAGTGAATTTTGCTGTTCCTCTTTGGTACCGAACCAAAGATACTCAGACATTTGTCCTTCTCTCCCCACCCTCGAACCCATAAGTTTAGCAACCATATTTCACTATTTCAGGGGCTCTCTTCCATGGCAAGGAGTAAAAGCAGCGACCAAGCGGCAGAAGTACCAGAAAATTTTCGAAAAGAAACTTTCCACCTCTGTCCAGGTATTTCCTCCAGATGACTGATTGCAGACCACTGAAAGATACAGCGATGCAGCCCAATTTTACTGTTTTGGAGTGAGTGCCATGCGCTGGCCTAACACTGGTTGCGTTTAGCTACTCAGTAGTGAAATTTCTGGCAGTCTTTCCCAGAGTCGAATCACGCTTTTCGTAGGGTTCACGTAAAGCTATTCCACCCAGCCAGTTCTGAGGTAGCCACGAGAAGAGAAGACGTCTGCAACTCGTTGTTTCTGAGCATC